GTGTGACACTGGGCAAGGGAACTCCACTGCTCTGACTTCTAAACGTTTTAGTGCCCATGTTGCCTCCTCAAGGAATTTTTTGTGGGTCCAAGAGAGAAACCCTACATGGTTTATTGAGGAAGCACTCTGAACACACTGGTCTAACAGGCATTATTAGTTATCTCTAATTAAAGTCACTGACAAGAATAGGTACTGACAATTCCACCAGGCAGAAGTAACCCCTCAGTTGTAACTGACTGAAAGAGAAATTTCTTATCTCATATAACAGATGATCTCCAGTTAGGCCCAGCTCCAAACTTCCACCCCATTTCTCTGCAATACCCCAGGCTGCCCAACAATACCCCAGGCTGAAGACAAAGTTGGGAGGGGATGAAGACAGGAAGGATTGGAAAGTGAGCCACAACGCCGCCCTTCAAATCCTGGAAGACTCTGGTATCCACTTCATGGTGCCTGTTGGTATCAAAGCAACAGTGAACTCACTGAGACCAACCCCCAGATCTATAACCCGTGTGGAGGTTACTGTCCACATGGAGCCACCTCTGCCTTGCAAAGGATGCTCTATTTTCTGATCACCTCTCTCAACACCAAGTGACTGAGGGTTGACAGGGAGGTGGAAACGGAGATACCACGGCTGCACATGTTCTCCAGAGTCATCTGTCCCCAGGGAGTTTCAGCATATTGGAAGTAACATCCAAACTCTTCATAACTGCTAAGTGTTTCCAGATGGATGTTGGCTCTCTCCACCTCATGCACCGAGCATGGCCAGGTGCTCCTCAGAGCCACACCTAGATCTGATGGACGCCACCATTATATCACCCCATTATGTCCAATGGGGCAGATTTTTTCCAAGTGGGTGGCTCAAATAGACCTCCAAGGGGCTTATTAAAAATGACAAATGCAAAAAAAATCATTCTTAAGTCTTCCATGTCTCCCTGTTGCCTACAGGAATGATCTCACATTCTTTAGGCATGACATTCAAGGCTTATGTAGCCCCTTCCTTCCTCTATAATAATCTCATTCCTCTTCCGTGCCTGACTGAGTAGCTCCCTGAAGTTCAGTTAAGTTGTTCAAGCCTCTTCCAGTCTCCACACCTGAGCCAATGTGCCATCAACTCAATTTCTCCTTGCTGGTAGCTTTAAGAGCAGATGGGCTCACCGCCCAGTGGAATCCATGTGAGCAGGCAAACAGTGTAACACCGTCTTACACCAACCGGATCAGATAAAGGCACCTGCTTTCCATGAGCCGGCAATGGCAGGAGGAAATGCAGGAGAATGCAGGAGAAAAATGCAGGATATTGATTCTTCTGCAGACCTGAGCAGTCTTCAGCCCTGGCCTCTGGGGTACCAGAGGGGGGGGGGTTTAATGTTTTCCCTCACATTTCAAAAATCACATTAACATTTAAGAGTATGGAAAAACAGACCAAGCAGGGAAGGAAAGTCCAGGGATGAGGAGGGGTCTTCAACACACTCTGCTTCCGAAAGTCAGAGTTCTGGTCAGTTCTATTGCTTGTTGTGTGATACTTGTTTGTGTTCCAACAAATAAAGCTTGCCTGGAGATCAGAGGGTTGAGATAGCTTTAGTTAACCAGATAAGCCTGGTAGTGGTAGCTCATGCCTTTAATCCCAGCACTCCAGAGGTGGATACAGGAAGAGATAAGGTGGGGTAGAGACAGAATTTCTGGCTTTTCAAACTGAGGAGTGACAGAGGAAGGGAGAAACTGGCAGCTGCTCCTGGTTCTTTGATCTTCCAGATGTTTACCCTGATATCTGACTTCTGGTTTTTATTGATTAAGATTAGTTAGATTAAAGCTTCAATTGCTCATGAGTTGTACATGGGTAATGTCTTCATCAGGATGAAATAGGTTGTTTCTTGGAACTGGTTGATGGGTGTCCATGCAGCCCCATATGTGAAGGTCATATATGTCTTTCATGACTTCTGAAGCTGTAGGACATGCCTGAGAGAACTCCTATGCTCTCCTGTCCCCCTTTTGGATTTGTGGATAGACTACCATTGAGAAGTATGATTTTCTGGCTTTGGTATATATTAAGATTGTCTTCCCTTAGTTTTGTTTCTTTGTTTTTCTTTCTAGGAAAAGGAGATAGTCCTTGGTACTCATATTTATCTAACATGTGTTCGCTGAGCATCTACAAACTCAAATAAAAAATCCCATCCTCGCGGAGTTAGCATTTTGTTGGGGGAACCCAACAATAGACGAATAAAATAAGTAAATTGTAGAATATGTCAAAAGTGATAAGTAACCGGGAAAAATAGCAGATAAGAATAGGGCTTAGCAGTGGACAGAAAAGGATATTGTGACTTTAAATAGGATGTTTAAATAATATCCCATAATAAGGCATCATTCAAGCAAAGATTTGGAAAAAATAAGAGAACAAACATGCTCATATTAAGGACGTATGTTCAGGCAGAGCAAATAATTAGTGGGACAGTAAATGCAGAAGAGAGACTATGGGGTGGAAGGCATATTCTAGAAAAGGCCTATAATCAGGGGAATTAGAAAAAAATGAGACCAAGAAGATGAAAAGTGGGTTCATCAATAAGACCTTGAGCTACCTGTGAAGACTTCGGTTTTTCTTCTTAGAATGGTGAGAAGCCACTATACAGTACTGAGAAGAGCCAAGATCAATTTACTTCAATCAGGGTCATGCTAGTTAGCCTCTCCAGAAGGCCAACTAAAGTAATGTAGATGGACCAGGGTGTGGCCTGGACCAGGTACAATGGTGAAGATGGGAACTGAGTGGTTCTGGATGTTGTATGCATGTAGAGCAAGCAAGCTTAGCAGATGGAGATACAGATGTGCAAGATGAGAAGGGTGAGTCTACAACACTGAGTAGTAATTGTAGTGCTGGCCATGTGCATCCAGTAGGGACACTTCATACCCTGCAACTGTCCCATAATCATGTCCAATATCTAGGATTGAACTCATGCCTATTGTTCAGCAGTGTCTCAAATTAGTAAAAATTATTGATTTCACTGGTTCCAAAAACATGATAGCTACTTCAGCATTGAGGTAGCAAGCAGATTGTGTGTCTCTACTCTGAAGTTAAAGACCATTGTTCCACTGTTAACTAGTGGTCAACTACTTCAGTTGGGAAACTTAATACACCAGTTGTTGCCCATAATCAACGAAGGGATCCAGTGCTTTAAGGAGGTCACCCTTGGTGCCTAATTTAACTGTTTAGAACAAATCTTTCACACATCAAATGTTTTAAATTCATTGGCATTTGTATTGATCTTTCAGTTATAACTGATAAGCACTTGGTGCTAACTCTTCACAGACCCATAGCTAAATATTGAATATAAGCATATACATTTCCCACTTAGTAACATCACTCCTGTGGCTTAAAAATGAGATTTTGTGAGGATCCATATCATAGAACTCAGGGTCTTTTCTTTTCCAGAAACTGGATTTACCAACAAACTCCTAGGCCACAGCAGAGTGCACATCACCTACTTTCCCAGAGAGAAGGAGTGTCTTGTTACCACTGATACTGTTTAAACTTTTTAGGTGATAATGCTAATAAAATGCAAGCCAATTTTATGTCTGGATTCTCTACAATATCCTTTTCTTTTGAATGAACCAAAGGCAGATGTCTCCCACCTACCTCTCCTTGGATTTCTCTCCCATCCTCTGGTGGCACTGTGGTCTTAATTTAGAACTTCGTAAGTCCTTGTTTCCTAATCTATTCAATGACAACTTTCAAACCCACCATGCTGGCTTATCATAAGGACTCAAAACAAAATGAAGAATAGTATGAGTGCAGGGGATGGGGAATTGGCGAACCTTTGAAGGTCTCCTCACAGCTCTAAGAGAAGGGAGATGCATTCGCTATAGAGGACAACCTTTTGCTGCCCACTGCGCTATCCAATTCCTATAACTCTGTTTATGCTGATCCCCACATTGGTGTCCCTTTTCCTCCCTCATTCCATCTACAACCTTTCCCTATCCCTGTTTGGATTTCCCACCTGGTTAAATCCTGCTTTTTCCATTGGCTGAAACGGCTTCATTCATCAATCAATAAGAGAAACACATATTCACAGCACACAGCAGGACATCCTCTGTCTTTTTTCCTTTTTCTGTTTTGAAACTTGGTCCATTCCAGCCAGGTGGTCCAGCTGCTCCCAGGACTACGAAGCTTCTCCTTGTTCTCACAGATGACAAAGTCCCCTTTGGTTTAGCCATAGACTCTCCTTTCTTCCTCTAATGTGTCTATTCCCAGACCAGGACCTACTATACTAAAATCTGCATTTTAACAAGATCTTCAGGGGATTAGTGTGTGCTGTGAAGAGAGGCCTGCTCAACTTGGTTGCCTGTTGATCTATTAGAGGCGTTTTAAAGCTTAGTAACCAAACTCTACCCACAACAGACTCTGATTCGGTTGATCTGTGCACAGCCTGGACATGGTGTTTTTAAAAGCCCCAGTGATACCAATATGCAGGAAAGCAAGAGACCCAGGGCTCTGTAAGTCTTCCCCTTCCTTACGGGGCCTCCAGGCTCACTCACGCTCTCTGATGCTGTGATAATTTGTGTTCACGTATGTTTTCCCACCTCTATTAAACTATGCTTTTTAAGAGTGAGAACTGGCTTTTAATTCAGTTTTATACCTTCTGTCTTACAAAGCAGTCATTACAGGGATTTAATGTTTACTGAATGGATGATTTATTTGTAATCTTAAATTGTTCCCTTGACACCATAAATGTGGCTGTTCTACTGGGACACAGTCGCGAAATCATGAGGTTTTTCATCACTTCTAAGACCAAGTCAGAGGCAGATAACAAGAATGGGTTTTCTAACTGAAACTGGGTTCTCTGGGTACCAGTGCAGCCATCCGGTTCTATCCATGAGTCTTCCCACAGAACGCCGAAGCTTTGAATCCTGGCTCCAGAGGGCAATGCAAAATGATGCAGGCTGTCCCCACATAGTTCAGGCATCTGATTCAGAACTCCTGGCTGAAGCTTGATGATGCTTTTCTCTCTCTCCAGGGTACCATTTTGATATTTATGGGGATTGCTTTTCCCACCATGAAGGCATCTGTTATTGAAGTCTTGCTCGGTGAGTACATTTCTATGTGTATCTGGATATTCTTTGAATCTGGCCAAGAGGGGTTTCAAGCCAAGACAGAACCCATAACAACAACAGAAGTTTAAGGGAGAATGTTAAATATACATCAAATTCAAGATGCCTCTGTGGGGAGTGTGTGCATGTATGCGTGTTCATATAACACAAATATTATAGTATGTGTATGTGTTTATATATGACCTATACTATGTACACATATCTTTGTGTTTGTCAGCAATAAACAAGTGTTTCAGATACAGCCTGTTTGAAGATCCTGAATTTAAGATCTCCCTGTTTCTTAATTCCTCAGAAAATAAAAAAATCAATATTCTTAAGACAATAATTTTACTCATGCCGTTAGAAACTCACACTTTGGAGATGAGATCTTTGAGACATCTCTAATCTCCAAAGAATACAATTTGGCTGTCTTTAAGAAACAGCAGGCCTACTGGAGCACAGACACTGCTGGTGCATTTAGAACTAAGCCCAGGGGTAATATTCTGTTGCTAGTACTCACTGTCTGAGGCTTTGCCAGTTAACATACCCCTGCAGGTCATGCTGAAACTGAGGGGCACAAAGTTCTTTGTAGATAGTGTGTATTAACTTGTGGGACTGTACTACAAGCTGGGTAGCCTAGAACAACAAAAATGTGTTGTCTTCCAGTTTGGGAGACTTGAAATCCAAAATCAGTGTGTCTAGAATTGAGGGAGAAGTCTGTCCCAGGTCTCTTCCCTAGTTTCTGGATGCTTTCTGGAAATCTATGATGTTCTTTGTTTATGGATACAACATTCTGTTTCCCAACATCTTCACATGGCATCCCCATTGTCTGTCTCTGACTTTTCCCTTTCTGCAATGGCATAAGTTTTATTGGATCAAGCATTCCAGTATGACTTCATCCAGTTTCAGCCAGTTATCTGTGCCACTCATGTGTTTCCAGACCAGGTCATATGCTGAGAGACTGGGCATTCAGATATCAGTGCACAACTTGCATGGGGAAGGGATGAAGTTTAACCCATTACAGACCGAACGTGTTTAAGCCTGCTCAGAGGAAGTCTGACTAGACCCAGTTGAGGACAGGAAGAAAAAGGTGACATAGTTTAGAAAGCAGAAGGGTCTCATGAGGATGGGATGAGCGCTGGGCTGGAGCAGAGAGAGGACTCAGGTTCTAGTTCTGAGACACCACCAGTTTGTTGATGTTGGCAGCCACACAGAGTGGTGGTTCCCAACCTTCCTAATGCTGCAACCCTTTAATACAGTTCCTCGAGTTGTGCTGACCCCGGCCATAAAATTATTTCATTGCTACTTCATAACTGTAATTTTGCTTCTGTTATGAATCATGATGTAAATATCTGATATGCACGGTATCTGATATGCGACCCTTGTGAAAGCATCATTTGACCCTGGGGGTCATTGGCCACTTGTTGAGAACCACTGTCTTAGAGTCTGCTGTTTCTTCTTAAATGATGGGACAGCCAGGGAACACCCAGCTCTGTGTCAAATGTTTGCAGGGTGTTAGGACAGTTTTCATGAAACCACTTGTCTCTCAGGTCACCTTCTCTCAGAGAGGAACATTAGTAGGTGGTTGCTCATTCAGTGTCACCAGACACTGTTCCTGTCATATGGCAGTGGGAAGCCCAAATAGGATTCTGGGTATCTATCCAGGAGCTCTCTCCCCAACTACTGATGTTCTCATCTGACTGAGAAAAGTCCAAGAATCAACTACCCAACCTGACCACTGTTACAAGGAGGTCATAGTCTGGACTGGGTGTTCCCAGTCTCTGGGCGTCTTGCTCAAAGAATTTAGAAAGCACGTATGGGAAGCAGAGTGGCAAGAAATTGTATTCAAAAGCAACGTGACAGTACACAGCAAACAAACTACAAGGCAGCCGCAGGCTCCTTGTGTTAAACAATCAAAGTCTCTGGTTACTGCCTTAGGCATCTTTAGTTTTAATTGAGTGGGCCTATGCTCTTCTCTCTTTAAAGATTTATTACTTTTTAGTTTTCTGTGGTGTGTGTGTGTGTGTGTGTGTGTGTGTGTTTGTGTGTGAACACATAGTCTAGAAAATAAAACCAGTCTTTCTAGAGCTGGAGTTACAGTGACTACATTCTTTGTGGATCCTGGGAACTGAACTCTCAGCCTCTGGTCCATCACTCCAGCCTCACATAAACCTTTCTGAATCTGCCTATGCTTTATTAAAATTCACCCGATACTAATCATGTGCACACTGGGGTATGCAGGAGCATACAATGACAAGTAGGGGATTGTCCCCAAGAGTTCACTCAGAGGACACAGCTTGCCTTTCTTTGTATGCCCCCAAAACTGACTAGCTCAGGCTGGGCCAGCTCCTGTCTTAGCTCCCTAATGTTATGGGGCATTCTGGAATGGAAAATAATCACAAAACGGGGTTACCAATGGTTGTTCAGAGGAGCAACTGCATTTAGAGAAGGGTGTATGCATGCATTTTGTTTAGTGTAGGTGGAGTCCCAGGTTGTTAAGTGTGTGATTAGAAGAGGAATTGGGGATAGCTTGAGCCAAGTGCAATTCTGCTCTGCTAGGCTTAGGCTGCCTCATCGGTGCAATTACTCCATAGGCCCGGCCCGCTTTAGTCACAAAAGGAACGTTCACCTTGGAAACACAAAGTGTTTCCCTTTCACCTTATTATTTTGAGCTACAAGTTAACAAGTTCTTAACCTTAAAGAAGTGGGGGTGAGCTCCCTCCTGTTTTCCACCATGGTGCAAGGTCAAAGTTAAAAGGAGAACCCCCATGCAGGAACTTCGCATCTGCAAGCTCTGCCTCCATACCTGTGTCGGGGAGAGCAGGGCAGCCCAGGGTGGAGTTTTCAAAAGCTAGATACACCGTCAGGTCTTCTGGTGTGAGGAGAAATGAAAGGATTGCTGTGCCCTGCACAGTCCACGGAGCCAAGGCAGAAGAAACCCTGGAGAAGGATCTGAAGGTGCAAGAGTATGGGTTATGGAAAATAACTTTGGTTTGGGGACTCAAGAACACACCGATCTGGACATCGAATGTGACATGAGTGGAGGGATTGACAGCCCGGATTTCTGTGGGTGCTACTGGGTACGTCAGGGTTCAACATGGCGAACAGGCTGCCCTAGAGCCACAGAATCAGCAAAGAGAAGGCCCAGCAGAAGCATGATGGGATCATTCTTCCTGACAAATGAACATTATCCAGGTAAGAATAAGGAGAATTTTCACACCCTGTCTTTTCCTATGCATCACAGACCCAAGATGGTAGATTTAGCTACTCCTCTCCCTGCCTCTCTTAGCCTGCCTTTTTCCTCACAGGGAGGCTCATACATTGAAAGCAGGAAAAGGAGACCCCCATACCTCAACACAATAGAGGCCACAGATGGCAACCCCACACTCCACAATGGAAGCACAAAGTCCTCCCTCTGTGACAAGGAATAATATAAATATGTCTACTATTGTACTGGAATCCCTAGCCAGATCAACTAGGCAAGGAAAAGGTTAAAAATAAGGTTTTAAAAAGTCACTGGGCTAGAGAGATGCGATTAAGAGCTTGTACTGTTTCTGCAGATGACCTGGTACCTACATCACAGCTAACAGCCCACTGTAGCTCCAGCTCTCGGGGGATCCGATGCCTCTGACTTCAGGGACACCTGCACTCAATACCCCTACACACACACACACACACACACACACACACACACTCATGCACACACACACACACACACCACACACACACACACCACACATCACACACACACACACACACACACACACAATTAAAATTAAGATTTAACTCAAAAATACTAATTATATTTGGAAAAAACTCAAAACTTGTCCATGAGATTAGGTGACATGAAATGTAGAAAACATTCATCATCGAGCCTTTAAAACTAGTAAAGGAATTCAGTATATTTATAGAGTTTTGTTACCTTTGTATTGTTGTGACCAAAAATGGCTCACTGAACAACATAAGAGGGAGCATAGAATTATTTTGAGTTGGGGTTTCAGTCCATAATGTCCAGAGAAGCCTGGTGGGCCGGGCTGTTTGGTTCAGAACTTGTGACAGGGGCTCTGCAGGTCATAGCAGACCAAGAAGCAGACAGAGCAACAGAACAAAGGGCCAGACATGACCTTCAAAAGCCAGCCTTTGTGACCTGTGCCTTAATTCCATCAACTAAGTGTGGCCTTCAAAAGGTTCCCCAGCTTCCTACAGAATACCGCCAGCTGGGGAGCAATCTGTCAAAGGAAGTGCCTACGGGGGACACGTCAGATTCAAAATAGATTGTGACCTTGCCTCCTAAGTTCATGGTCATCTCATAATACAAACTGCATCTAATCCAAGTCAAAGAATCCCCGGCGCATTACAGTCTCAACACTGTAAAGTCCCAAATTTAAGGTCAGTTCTGAGGCTCAAAGCAAACTCTTAGTACGAAGCTCTGTAGATCAGAAAGTCACATTCGTCCAATGTACAGGGACAGAGCACAGGCATGCCCATTCCGAAACGGACAGATGGAGTATGGGGGAGAAGGTGGGACCAGATGGAATATGGGGGGAAGGTACTGAAACCAGTCGTGGAAAACAGGCTAACTAGGCTCTGTGTCAAACACCTGGCATACAAGCAGCTGGGCTCCAACTGCAGCTATGACCTTAATGTTTGTGGCTTCCTTATTTTTTTTTTGCCATCTCCAATTGATGCCTGCCATTTCCTCAGCGGGTATCTCAGGTTCTCGGCAGTTACAACATCCTAGGAACTCCCTCGCTGCTTGAGCATCATGTATGGCTTACTAAGGTCCCTGCAGAATATCCAGCCTGTCTACACATTGCCTGACCTCCTAGTCTTTTCTCAAAAACTGTGCTGGAAGCCTACAAGACCCTGTAACTCTCACATTTTGCATAAAGAGCACACAGACAATGAAGGCTAAAATGCTAGCCTCCTGGGCCAACTCAAACAGCTGCCAGGACCTCTTGGACCACAGCTTCAGTGACTGCTGAATGCCTGGGTAG